AAAAATCTTAAAAAAAAAAGACAAAAATTACCAATAGCAGTAAATAAAGACGAAGATCACTATAAACCCCACAAACGATTAAAAAGATAGCAAGAAAATACTGTGTGCATAAACTTAAGAACATATACGAAATGAAAAAAATTCTTGAAAAACACAACTGCTAAAATCATTCAAGAAAAAGACAGAACTTAAATAATTCTATACATACTAAAGAAACTGAATTTATATTTCAAAATCTTCCCACAAAAAAAAATTCTAAGCTTCGTTGGCTTCACTGGAAAATTCTAGCAAACATTTAAGAAATAAATAATACTAATTCATCACAATTTTGTCCAGACTGTTGGAAATGAGAACATTCAACAACTCACTTTATGAAGCCAGCATTACCCAGATACCAAAACCAGACAAAGATATTGCAAGAAAAGAAACTACAGGTAAATAACGCTAGTGAAAATGGATGAAAAAAAAATCCTCCAGAAAATACTAGCAAATCAAATCCAGCAATATATGAAAAGAAACAGTACCCCATGACTAAGTGGATTTTATCCCAGATATGCAAGACTGGTTCAACACTCAAAAATTAGTCAGTATAATTCATTTCACTGTAATTGAGACTAAACAAGAAAAATCATATGATCACCTCAACAGACGCAAAACAGCATTTGACAGAATTCAACATCCTTTTTGATAAAAACTCTCAGCAAATTGCAACAGAAGGGAACTTCTTCAATATAATAAAGAGCATCTAGAGAAACCTACACCTAACTACTAAGTAATAGTGAAAGACAAAGCTTTTCCACTAATTTCAAGGAACAAGGCAAAGATATCTACTTTCAATACTCTTATACAACACAGTAATACAGTGTAACCAGTCAAGAAAAAGAAATACTTGACATGGATATTGGAAAAGAAGAAATAAAACTGTCGTTTCTCTCACTGATTATATTATTGTCTATGTATAAAATCCCCAAAAAAAGCTACAAAAAAGCTATTAGAATAAATCAGTGAATTTAAGGAGGTTACGTAATACAAGGTCATTAAATAAAAATCAATGGTATTTCTATACACTGGCAAGTAGCAATTGGAAAATTAAAGTCATAAAAGTACTGTTTACAATAGAATCAAAAAAAGAAAATATTTAGGCATAAATCTAACAAAACATGTATGAGATCTGTATGCTCGAAACTAAAAAACAGATTAAAAATTTCTAAGAACTAAATAAATGAGTGATATACCATGCTCATGGGTTGAAAAACAAAATATTATTAGCATATCAATCTCTCCAAACTGAACTATGGATTCATGACAGTTCCAATCAACTTCTTCGAATTTTTTTTTTAACTAGTAAGTTTATTCTACAAATTATATGGAAAAGCAAATAAACTAAAATAATCAAGACAATTTTTTTAAATAAAAAATTTGGAGGGCTCACACTACCTGATTTCAAGATAATATAAAGCTATAGTAATCAAGACAGTGTGCTATATTGGAGAAAGAATTCAAACATAGATTAATGGGAAAATATAGAGTCAAAAAATAGACCTACAAAAATATAGGTAATAGATTTCTGACAAAGATGCCAAAGCATATAATGGAGAAAGACGAGTCATTTCAACAAATGGTGTAGGAATGATTAGACATCTGTCTGGGAGAGGGTGGGGAGAAAAACTTCAATCCATGCCTTGCATATGTAAAAACTTACTTCAAAATGGATCATAGCCCTAAATGTAAAACCGTAAATCTAAAATTCCTAGAATACAATATAGGGGAAAAAAATCTTTGTGACTCTGGGTTATACAAGATTTCTCAGTCATGATACTAAAATCACAAATCATGAAAGAATAACTTGATAAGTTGGATTTCACCTAGTTAAGAATATCTGTTCTTTGAGGGACATTGTTAAGAGAATGAAAAGACAAGCCACAAAATGGGTATTTGTAAATCATATACCTGAAAAGTAACTCAAATTCAGCATATAAACATAACTCTCAAATCTCAAAAATAAGAAAACAATTCAATGAGGTGGGTAAAATGTTTGAAGACTTTACCAAAGAAGCTATTCAGATGACAACTACATCTCAATGTCATTAATTATCAGGGAAATGTAAATTAAAGCCAAAATGAGATGTTAAAACCTAAGAAGGATCTGAGATTCTACCCTACTTACACACTAACAAGTTGGCCTGCTACAGTTTTATGCACGTTGGTAGAAGACACAAGACTTCTGGGTCAGAGACAACGGACAGTTTATAACTCACGGCACAGCAAGCAATATGAACCTCACATTCACACAGGTTCCCTGTCCTCCAAGTACCACAGGGGTGATGCAGAGGCAGGCTCAGATAGATATTGTGCAGGCAGTGGGTTTATTTCACAGCCAAGGAACACTAAAGCTTGGAAAACCTCTATCATTTGCAAGCAAATCTGCCTAAGCTTTTCCCTAAATAGAGACATTATCTTTATTAGACTAGACAGCAAACATATCTTCCCTCTGTTCTGAAGGGAAACAATATCTCTATCTTCCAAAGCCTATTGTCATACAAACATCCTTGAAAAGATAATCCAAAACAAAAGACTGTCTGTGGCTCTGTTCACAGGACATGCAAAAAAGCAAGAGACCAATGGAGAATTATCTCCCAACATGAGCTATCATTACATGCCTACAAGAATGGCTAAAAAAAATGTTTTTAATAATAACACCACCACAACATGCTGGTGCGAATATGACTGTCGGAAATGCAAAATGGTACTTTGGAAAATGGTAGACTATTTTTTATAATATTAAACATATACTTTCCATATGACCCAGCAATCCCACTCCTAGGTGGTTATCTAACTGAAATGAAAATTTATGTTCATACAAAACCTGTTTTGCAATCATTTATAGTGGCCTTATTCATAGTGCTAAAAATTAGAAACAATTCAAATATCTCTTAGCTGATGAATGGATCAACAAACTGTGGTGCATTCATGCAATGGAATGCTACCCAGCAATAAAAAGGGCAAATAACACACAACAACACAGATGAACCTCAAATGCATTATGATAAGTGCACTATGAAAGAAGCCAGACTCAAAAGCCTGCATGATTCCATTTATATGACATTCTGGAAAAGACGAAGTGATAGAGACAAAGTATATCAGCAACTGCCAGGAGCTGGAGGGAGGTGGAAGGACTGACTGCAAAGGGACTTGGTGGTATTTTTTGAGGTGATGGACTGTTTTATATCTTGGTGGTGGTGGTTAGAAGACGGTATGTGTTTGTCAAGATTGACAGATTGTACACCAAAAATAATGAATTTTACTGCATTAAATTAGACCTTTAAAAAAATAAAAAAGAGAGAGAGAGAATATGCATAAACTCTAGAATCAGACTGCCAGAGCTCTGCCTCTTTCCAAATGTGGATCTTGAGTATTTTCTCAAACTCTCTAAGCATCAATTTTCTCAACTGTGAAGTGAGAATAATAATAGCATTTGCCTCTTAGATTTGTCAGCTTTCCTTGTTGGTGTTCCATCATTAATCATTATTTGATATCCTATTATATACCTAACAACGCATCGGAAACAGAAATGAATCTGGGGCATGGCCCCCACCTGCCTTCCAGGAGGCTGCAATCTAGTTAATAAATAGCTCCTGAATGGACAAATGAACGCGATTGTTTTACTGCCATTATATTATTACAATTACGAAAATTAACAAAAGCCAGTCTTAAGAATCTATTAGGCTAAATTCATATTAATAATTTTAAACATAGTTGAACTTTAGAAAGAATTTTCCAAAATAAAAATGGAAATTTCAAGTCAAATCTAAGAAATCCTATTGGCAACCTAGATATTTCTAGAATTATCGCTACAGAAAATTTTAAAAGACTTGAAATTTCATTTATTTATAGTTTATCAGGTTCAGAAAGAATATCAGCCTACCAGTTTTCACCAATTTATTCTAGCATTTCAATATTACTTTAATTTGAGTAAGAGCATCAAGAAAGCATTATAAAAACAATAGGAGATTATGTTTCCTCATTGACCAAGACTTCATGTATCTGGATAAAACATTTCCCTAAAAAGACAAAGCTAAGAAGAATCACTAAAAATAGATGGAGAGACTATGAGGTATTCCAGAAAAGTCTGCTCCCTCCATCAAGAAGAGAATTAATGACTTCATCTTTATATCACATAAAAGATCCAATAATCTGTGTGAGCCATGTATGCATTACAACACATCATATTATATATACCCAACACCTTTCTTTGTGTATCACATATCCCTGTCGCTCGACCATGAGAAATGTCCTTACATCAGGCTTAGAGTATTAGAAGCATGAGAAATTCATGCCAGAACATACTATAGCTACTTTTACAGAGTTAAGCACATTTTCACCATATTCATTGTGCATTTATTGAAGATCTATTAGATGCTCAGTTCTGACAGGAGAAAGCTCTATAAAACAAAGCAGTTTGTTTTAAATTTGTCCTTTCCCTTCAAAGCTAAAAGAAAATCAAGCTATTCTTACTTCAAAGATTTCCTATCTACTCTCATCTCACATCACATCTCGGCGAAACTCTGTGAGAAGTGTTCTTGGAGTGTTATCAAGTAAAAATTTTGCAACAAGTATGGCTTTTTGCACAGGATTTCACACTGAATAATATAGTAACATCTAGAGATTCCTAGCCTAGTAAAAAAAAAGAATATTTTAAAAGATATTTTTAAAAGCGCAATATATGCACAGGGGCTTCTCTGCAGAACTCACAGACTCATTTTCACCATTTCATTTGCTCAGAACTATTGTTTTGGAATATGGAGCCCACAAATGGATCTTCCAAAGTTTTATCTATTGAAAATATTTCTAAGGATTACATCTCTCAAGAAGAAGCTAGTATGTGGAAAAGTATAAGAAGGATAAAAATAAGTCATACGATAACTAAAACAAGTCAAAGTAAAATGAGTAGAAATTGTCCTTTGGAAGACCCCAGAGGAAATGATTACTGGCTAGCTTACCTTGCTTTTCTCCATTAACATTTTCTAAAATATCAGAGAGCTGGCTGTCAAAGCCATGTTGAAGGCCATTCCTTTGCTTTTCAAGGTGATGTTCTTCCTCAGCAATAGAAGAAAGCACATGTGGTTGCTTTTGGTCATCAAGGGTCTGATTGGGCCACTGGGACATTATGGAACATGAGTCCTTTCCATTTGCATGTTGGCTAAGTCTGGGGCTTGAACCTTGGGGAGAGTCCTGCAAATCACTATTACAACAGGAGAAATGATCCACTTCAAGAAACAAAGAATTTGCGTCTTCTTGACTCCAATCATTGCCTTGTTCTTCATCTTCAAAGTAGGTTTCCTGAATCTGAATATCATCTAAGTTCTGGTCTAGGTTGTCACTCAATTTAGAGTCTCGTTTGCTCAAATTAACCAGCGAAGCAGATAGTGTATCTCCTGCTTGCTGGAGAGCTTCATAAACCCGAGATATCCAGGAAGAGAGAGGCTGGAAGAAGTTCTGAACATCCTGAGATGCCATGGCCAACACCATGACCAGCTATCTGATGTCTACAAGTCCACTTGTCAGTTCCTTCAGTACTCTGGACTTAATGTGAACTACAGAATAAGCATGATGAGAAATTAAATTGGAGGTCTCTTAATGGCTGTGAATATTTCACTCTCAAAACTTCTCAGCTGAAACAGAGGAAAGAAATACTTACACCTGTTAAAGTTACAACTTCAGCCCCATCACCAGATACTTCAAATCAATGCCAAACAGCATTTGGGGACAAAAAGAGATCATTGAAATCTTAAGGCAACTAAATGACTATGAAAGTCTAAATGTATTTCAATGCCTATTCAACTCCACGGGCATGTGCAAAGCTTCCATTAGCAGTAATGGGCTCTATTCACATGGACTGAGAGAAGTCTGTCCCCCATAGACCATACTTAATAGTGTGAAAAGGATAAGTGAATCTTCATTAAGAGGCACTTGGACACAATATTTCAAAATACAAGAAAGGTTGGAGGCTTCATCTAGGAACCTGCAGATCCCAGAAAGCAGGCTAATAAGCATCTCTGCTTCATGACACAAAGATTTATCCTTTCAAAGGAAATGTGCTCCTGGAATCAAAAAGCTTTTAACAAATCTTAAAATAGGATCTTATATTTTTATGCAATTTCTAGAAATTATATCTATTCTTGAGGAGCAAACAACCGCTGAAAAACTGAGGGTGGCAAGTGGATTAGGCAGTTTACCGGAGACACGTCCCTGGCATCCCGTTGCATTTGTCTAAGTTCCAAACTCCGGAAGTCAGCTTTCCACAGCCTGTGAGACTCCTGAGAGGCAATACATCCCACAAGATTCAAACCTGAAGGAGGCAGCTGCAGGACACGGACCGAGCAACAGGGCATAATGAAGACTCTGGAGCTACTATACTTTTACACATACGCATGCATACAAACATATACTATGTATACATAGGCACATGTATGTGTACATATATATATATATATATATATCTCCTATTGCCTTTACATTGCTCGTCAACAGCTCAGGATGAATGTTATAAATGACAGCAGAGCCTAAATTCACTGCTTGCAGTTAATTACTCCATCTCTTTTATAGCAATAGCTTCCTTCTGACCAAATTTACCAGCAATCCCATAAGTTTCAGCCTTCTTGACCTCAGGCTGCTGCATTTGATAGGATTGCCTACACTCTCCTAAAAATTTCTCTCTAGCTTTTGTGATAGCCATTCATGCATGTATTGATTCATTCAACAAATAAATATTTATTAAGTACTGGGCACAATGCCAGGTGTAAGGTAACCCTGAGGTCTCTGTCCCCATGGAGCCCACATTCCAGTTAAAGGGAAACTGAGCTCTCTGCACTTTCCCCTGATCCTGAATAATTAATGTGTCTGTCTTTCAGGCTCTTCCTTGTCTTCCCACAAACTACTTAGATACAACCACTCATTGTCCTATGGTTTCTCTTCCTCCCCATTAATACTCATCATCTGGGAGAGCTGACCCATCTATAAGTACCAATTAACACTTTTTTAAAAATTCCAACATATACACCTCCAGCCCTTAGCTCAATCCCTCTTTTCCAGGCTTGAATCTCTTGTTATCTAAGCCCATGGTTCTCAGACTTTGCTGTGTCAGAATCACCTGGTGAGCTAATAAAGAACATAGAGGCCCAGGCAGGTTGAAGGAACAGGCCCCGGGCCTTTGTATATTTGTCAAGTTCCCCAGGTGATCCTGACACCCACCAAAGTTTGAGAAATGCAGATCTAAGGAAGTAGCTACACCTGGGTATCTCACCAAAATCTCAGATTCAGCTGATCCAAACCGAGCACAGCGCTTTTTCTACAACGGGTGTTCAGCACTCTGGACTCACAGCATTCTAGTGTCTGTGAATTTCTCTCTTGAACACTCCTACCTTCCACTCCTTCCGTTCCAAGTTCTGCTGGTTTGGGGTCTACGAATTCTCTCTTCCATTACGTTCTGTGGAGTGATCGCCTTTCCCCACACTCTGATTTCCTCAGAACTTCCAGACGTAGGGTTTCAGTCTCTAGTCTTCCCCACCTCCACTCGTCCTCTAGGTTTGCTCACCAGAACCTGACCTTGTACCAGGTTTATTGCCAACTCCCCTAGAATGAACGTTCCAAGGAGGGCAGCGACTGTCTGTTTTGTTCTGTAGCTTATCCCCAGTGCCTAGAAGTGTGCTGAGCACGTGTTAAATTCTCAATAAATGAATTAACAAATGCCATTTAAAATTGTGCTTACAACAGTGTCTAGCATATAGTATGCACTCAAATTTGTTAAATTGATGAATAAAACCTACTCAGAATTGTTGAAAAGCTCTTAATGTTACCACACAAATCCCCCACTTGGTAATATTAAAGAGTTCTTTCACCATTTGTTCCACCCCATTTCAGTACCCACAGTTTTTTGGGTTTTTTCTCCACAAATATTTTGCTTAAGTTAATATGCTTCAGGGCATCACACACCTAGAAAGCTCCCTGAGAAATCATTGGGGTTAGCATCTACCACTGTCCTTTAGGTACTTGAAGCTTTTTAAGACAGAAATGATGTATCTGCCTTAATAATTCAATAATCCTTTCTATTCTTTATTATACAGAGAAAACTTTATTTTCACATGCAAACCAAAATCTTTGATTTTTAAGCCAGCATTTTCTTGTCCAGTCTTTGAGTTAGTAACTGCCCATGCTCTCAGTCTCATCTCTCCACGTCTTCTGTAACCTCTGTCCATCAAACCTTCATGGCAACTTGTCCAAAAGATAAATCTTACATCACTCCTTTAGTTTAAAGAAACAAACTAAAAAACCATTATGGCTTCCTATTCTTTATATGGCAAAATTTTAGCACTGGCAAACATTCATTTATATTTGTTGACACAGAGGTTTTAAAAAATTAATTTTAATGCCACATTGACTACAGTCCTCACTTCTCCCTGTTGTTTATCCCCACTTGCTTTACTCATTTCTTTGTAGCCTACCTGACCCCTGGAGGCACCTGAATTTTCAAGCCCTACCCTATAGGATAAATTTCACATTGTTTACCATGGCATACAGGAAGAGGGATGCTCAAGACATTTAGCAATCAGCACACATCTAACTGGCCTTAGTGCTAGAGGGATCCTTAGGGCCTCCCACAGGGCGTCAACTTTTTAATTGCTGAGTCACTAGTGTGAGGAGATCTGGGGGGTGCAACAGGACAGTGAGAGGGACCTCATATCAGTGGCTATTTATCAACTATCTTGGAACTATTTCAATATTTTCACAACTCACAGAGCTCCACCTTTGGTCCTGACTGAAGATCCAGCTGTGTATGAGCTGTTCCCAATAATACCACCTCACAGTGAGGACTCAACCATTCCTCACCACTCCTCACTCAAAAGTCCTATGTGCCGCTCACACTAACACACTAAGCATTTTCCAGAGTGACTGTGCTCTTCCCTGACTTCCGTTTGCTCTGCCGGGATGTCTTCTTTCCCTAGCCCGCCTAGTAAATACTTACTCATTCTTTACGCTGAAACTCCTACTGCCTCCTATGTCAACGCTTCATCTGCAATCAAAGGTGTAGCCTCAGGGTGCTTTGAATGTGCCTTTATGACACAAGGTTTCACTTGCTGTGGTAATTATGTGTCAGTCTTCCTCTTCCAATGGACTGTGAGACCGTAAGTGCTAGGACAGTGTTTATAACTTTACTGCTCCAGGACCCACATCGGGTAGGGACTCATAACTGTTTGTTGAATGAATGAATGGAAGTTACTGATGAAAATTTTTAAAGCTAAGAAGCCCTGATTCTTCATTTGCCTTCATCTGTAAAGTGTAATTAACTCTCTAGATGACCTCTAACAGCTCCTTTCTGCTTTGAAACCCAAGAATTTACCAGTGTGGGCCAAAAAACATTGTAATATTGACGCTGGATATATTCAACAGTAAGTAGTCTTTTCAGGGATTGGTTCTATAATTTTGTCAATAACCATTGTCCAACGATCTCACAGTGATTGGAAAGAGGCCAAATCTGTCTCTATATGAAACAGTGTCCAGTGGTTATATTCCAAAACACTGAAAAAGGAGGGGCGCCTGGAGCTAGCACCTGAAAAACAACTTAGTTGGCAGTACTGTAGATCTTTCATTACACTAACACAGTCTAAAGCCAAAAGGGCTATGTGCCAGCAGAGTAACCATGGAGATAGCTTTGCTGCTTAGGTAAATTTCATCTTGACTGGTAGAATAGAGGGTAGTATCAGATATATACCTGGTACCCGTGTTATTTGGGGGCTTTCTTACCACTGAGAAGACAAAGTAGCTGCTGGTGTTATTAAAAAATATACATATGAGAAAAGGAAAATAGAGGACAGCCCAGGTCCTTGGATTAGCAGGAAAATACATGTAAGGTCTGTGGTGGCTAAGAAGTCTCATTATTTGAATTAAAGTAGTTCATGACACTTCGTTATTATGAGACGTATAAGACAAAACAACAAAAAAAAGTGTGTTTGTGTGTGTTTGTTTAACATACAAGCTCCTACCACAAACATGACAGGGACGGTTTATAACCTCTCCACGTGCTCAGAATAAACCAGCAATCTAACAAAGGATTAGTAACAACTGATAAATAAAGATGAAAGGTAAGCTGCTGATATATTCTTAGGGCCTACAGTTCTTTAAACTTTGTTTTAATTAGAATTATATTTTAATTATAAAGGTGTCTAATTAAGGTCATTTTAAACATAGAAAATGTCTAAACAGGAAACATTAAAGAGTTGCATTTCTGTAGGGGGAAAAACTATCAAATTCTTGAGCCATATGCTTTATCACATGTTTGATCATCCTCACCAAGGGTACCTGTAGACAGAAGAGATCCATGCCCACAATAATAATGCTCATGGTCCTTTAAAGGCTGTTAGTTAAATCTTTCTGACCCCATTTTTTTTTTATCTGATGATAGATGCTTGGAGGGAGGGGGAGAATTATGACTTAGGAAGAAATACCAGGTTCTAGGAGGTAGGTCTTAAAAAATCTATGTTATTTTGCTGAAAGCTAAGGTGGAAGCCTGTATGTCTGAGTGATTTCTAAAGGCTTATCAGCTCCTGGAGAGAGTCAGACACATTCTGAGAGAAAAGAAAATGTTCCAATAATAGGGTCCCCAAGTAACCAAACCCCGAATCACAATCTTACGCAAGTTTATCTAGTGAAGTGTGTTAATGCTTAGCATTTTTTAAAGGAGAAATCACCTTGGAAAATCTACTCTTTTCATTCTCTGTCAAGATCTGTAGGGCAGTCAGTCATAAGTAAAGTCAAGAATACTGGGTTTATTTAAAATTTCTCCTCACAGCTGCCAGTTAACTTCCTTGTGTCATCTACAAGATGTGGGTTACTTAATATTGACTTCCCAGAGTGGTCATGAAGCTAATTAAGTCTGTAATTTTTATGACAATTATCATGCCTTTCAGAGAAAGGCATTTTGCAGTACCTAGTACAAATAAGAAAGCTCAGAAAGATGAATAATGCATGCAGTCAAAATAAGAACTATGAAATGGGCTGCAATCCATCTTTAACATGAGTCAAGAGAGCCTACAGGTGTTTTCTGTTAAGAGAAAATTTGTTAGGTGGGTAGGAATATGTGCCGTTGAGATGAAATATCCTTTATAGCATTTGTCCAAAATGTGTTCTAAATGCTGGCATCTTAACAAATATAAAATTGGACTACTGTGGACTCTATGGCAACAATATGGACACAACACATACAGACTGTCATTGCTGGGACATGGGCAATCCAATAGACCCTTTACCACTGGGCTTCAGCGGGGACAATTAATAGAAAGCAAAATGTGAAACTGCTCTGTAATCAAAATATATTTTCATCAGGAGACACTGAGAAAAAGGAGACAGTGTGAAGGAAAGAAACAGCAGTGGCTTCGGAATCACACAAAACAAGGCTCAGTGTTGGATCTGCCCTCACTTATGCCACAGCACGAGGCAAATTACACGACCTGGGTGCACCTAAATCTCTTCACCTGTAACATGAGGAGCACTACCTCTTGTCTTCCAACTCACTATGGAAATGCGATTACACAATGTTTTTAAAGCACCTAGAACAGAGCCCAGTACATAACAGGCTCTCAGTATCAGTTATTCATTATTGAATCGAAATTTGTGACATTTTAAAAGGTAAAAATATATTAAACTCTTGTAATCTTTTCCCTAATGTGCTAAGACCTCAGAAAAATAATACTATCATTATAACCAACATTTGCCAAACACTTTACAGTATGCAATGCTTTTTGACAACTTACATAAAAAAAAACTCTTTGTGAAAGACATTAGCCTTCCATTTTATGGTCGAAAAAACTGAGGCTCAGAAAGGGTAAGTGCCTTGCCCCAAGGCTCATACCTAAATACAGAGTGGAGCTGGTATTCAATTCTCCTTTGTTGAATTCCAAGTTCTTGCTTGAACTCCTGCTCCAAATCTTCACAAAATGCCAATAAGACAGTGAAGACACTAGAAATCAAAAACGTAGAGGTATTTTCCTAATGAGTGGCAAGCATGGGGTTCAAATCCTGGTTTGTCTGACTCAGAAGTGTGTTCTCATTCTGTTTCCACTGCACCACGGCTGCTGATTTCACTAATGAAACTTGTTTAAAAATGAAAACTGTTGCAATTACTTTTCCAAAATAAGTGTAATAAAGTAAAAAAAAAAAAAAAAACTAAACTACTGCTTAAGTCAAGGACGGCTTATTTTTAAATATAGTTTTCAAACTGTATCCAGTTAAAGTTAAAGCTTTGTAACTGAGCAGGACAATATCAAAAAAACTAGGGCTGGCTCAACAAGAGTTTTAAATTGTTCAAGGTTTATGCCACTATAGCAAGAGCACCTTTTAAATATTCTCCAGATTTCATTAGCCCATTGAGTATTCCGGATCGTCTATTACATCCAAAGCAGAGATTTGCATATGCTTCACAAATAAGCAGTCGTTCCATAAACACAGAAGGTCTTCAGCATTTGCAGAGGGACTATTTAACATGGTGTTAATGGCACAATTTTCTTATGAGACTGTCATTGCTGTGGCACAGAAATCCATCTTCAGACTCACATATAATAAAATTTTTATCAAGCATTTAAGAATGAATTATATTTAATTAATATTTACCTTTTTAAAGACCCAACCAAAATGAGGAACAATCTCATTTTGCATCATCCTGGCTAAAGTGATCACAATAGACTCCTGACAAGAGTACATCTCTGTTCCATGGTCACTGGCACATACCAACTGGCCCCAAATAAAGGAGGTTCTGAAATCTCAAATAACATCCACAGTACAAAGGAATGTAAGCAGAAGGTAATGTAATGAAATTGAGGAAGGCAAAATTCAGGCACAATTAACAGGAAATTCTCTCAAACTAGGGGATTTGTCAGATTGTTGATTTTTGTCCAAGAGAAGAGAGAGAGACATCATTTGTATCACTTGAAAATGCACAAGGCTCAAAAGTTAGGAGAAATTACAGAACTAATGTCATTGCAACCCTCTGGAGACAGATTAAGCAATACTCTAAATATCAGCAATCATTGAGTGTTTGTTAAAGTTCTTTTACTAATTATAGAAGTAATACCAGACTTATGAAAATTTGGTTAAAAAAGAGAGGGAAGGAAAAATAATTTAGAATCCCTCCGCCTTAGCACAACTCTGATTTTTTTTTTTTTTAGGACGATTAGCCCTTTGCTAACTTCTGCCAATCCTCCCCTTTTTTTGGCTGAGGAAGACTGGCCCTGAGATAACATCCGTGCCCATCTTCCTCTACTTTATATGTGGGGCGCCTGCCACAGCATGGCTTGACAAGCGGTGCATAGGTCCACACCTGGGATCCGAACTGGCGAACCCTGGGCTGCCGAAGTGGAATGTGCGAACTTAACCAACTTAACTGCTGCGCCACTGGGCGGCCCCTCAACTCTGATTATTTTTGCACATTTCTTCTGTCATTTTTCCTTGTAATTTGCACAGGGTTGTAGTCATATTATATAGGATCCTAAGCCAACTCCCTATCCTTTATCTAGAATTCATCACCAAGGCCTACGCATTCTTCCATCTAAATAACTCTTGAATCTACCTGCCTTTTTCCACCTGCACAGGTAATACTGGGACACAAGTTACCGTTTTTCCCACCTGAACCACTTCAACAACCTCTTAAGTGATTTCTTCGCATTCACTCCTACCTCTGTTTCACAAAATGGCCTTTCTGATCTTCTTAAAATACGTATTTGATCAAGTCATTCAGTGTTTAAAATGACTTAAAATTACTTCAGATAAAGTCCAAAATCCTCCACAGGACTCAGAAAGCCCCTCCTTATCCTTAGTCACTCTCTAGCTGCACTTCACTCTTCAGCATCTCACCTCCTTCTTTCAGCATCTAACTTCACCAGGCTCCTCCCGCTGGCTGAGAATGCTCTCCTCCTTCCAAGCTTCCTTCCCCTGGCCCCCAACACCCATTCATTTCCTTTCAGGGCTCAGTTTACACTTCACTTTTCAGAATGCTCTGCCTGACAACCAGCCCCACATAATCCAGACTAAATTCTGTCCCCCTGAAATATTCTCTCATAGAACCTCTTACCTCTTAACACATATTGTAATTGTAGCTCATTAATGACTTGCATAATTATTTCTTTTTAACATCTGTCTTCCTCACAAAACTAGAAACTCCAAGAGATCAGATAGGAGGTTAACTTTTGTCTTCACCCTGCTGTCAGCATCCATTGAGTGACTGCCATGGAGCAGGCAATCAATAGTTTTGAATATCTGAGTATCCACACACACAATATTATATCCTCCTTCTTTCATTTAACAGTTTAATGCATTTTGCATGTTTCTAGTCTTTTGTGTTTATCATTTTTAATGATTTAATATTTTAAAAACTGAATTTTCAACTAGGACCCAAGTACCTTTGAACAAATTCAAATCTATGAAAGTACCTATTCTAACGATAATAAGCAATCCTTCACATCTCAAGAAAAAATACCCAGTATTCTCCATCAGAATGAGATAGAGGTAAATTATATTAATTCAGACATGATAAATTTGACACTTATAAGAGCTTTGACAGGAGCTAGGATAAAGCTTACTTCTATATCTTCTATTAAAATAAAACGAAAAGGTATAGCTGGCTAAACAAGACAGTAATTATCATCGTCAAAATATTTACCTTACAATTATTCTTATTTCTTTTCATTAAGAGGTTAGGAGAGGGGGCTAAGGTTTTCTTTTCTAATCAGCTCCCAGGTAATGCTGATGCTACTGTTCCAGCAACACACTTTGAACAGCAAGATTTTACTTAAGTGTGATTTACACGTCATAAAATTCAGCCATTCTAAGTGTACAGTTCAATACTTTTTAGTAAGTTTACCAAGTTGTGCAACCATCATTACAACCCAGTGTTAGGACATTTTCCTCACCCCAATAAGATCTCTCATAACCATATAAAATTCATCCCCATTCTCATCCTCAGCCCAGGCAACCACTCATCTACTTTCTGTGTTTATAATTTGCCTTTTCTGGGCATTCCATATAAATGGAATCATACAATAAAGGGGGAGAAAAGGTTACAAGAGACAGTGGAAATAACACTAAAATAGTTATGAAGCACCATGAGCCAGTTCCACTTCTGCAACTGGCTGTGATCTTGGGAAAGATGCTTGATTCCTTGAACTTCCACTTCCTCACCTGCAAAACAACAGGACTGCACTCGGCAAGCTGTCAGCATTCCCTGCGGGTAACATTCTAAAGCAGGCTCTTGGGAAGCTCCCCTGAACTACCCTCCTTTGGAGTTTTTACTACTGTTGGCATCCAACACACAAGAAATCATTTTACTTCAGATATATCTGTGATACAGACATCACAAATCCTCAAATCTAGCAACCATGTCAAGCTTATAGAAGGCACTCAAGAAATATTTATTGAATCAAACTCAACTGAATTCGACTGGCCTCCTTAAATTCGGTTTGCTTATTCTGGAAGCTAACCTCCTATAAGATCTAGGGTTGGTTTTCATAAAATTTAGACTATTTGAAAAATGAGTGACTTTTTCCTGGAGAAGATGTTCCTGTCTTTTTCAAAGTCTCGAAATGGTCCCTTATCCTCCACTGTCACAGCACAGATTGGTGAGGTTAATCTGTCTTGGAAAGATAACCCTGCAACCAACAATTACACAGGTTTTAATCTGGTTCTCACTATGTGATGAAGGAAATACAAATCTTTTGTCTAATGAAATTTTCATTTGTAGCCAGAAAACCATTCCAGCACAAATTATTAATCCATTGCACATGTTTCTGCCAGGTCCCAGGACACAGCAGCCTCACGTTCTTATTTATACTGGCCCCCTTCTGTCTATGAATAAACATATCAATCCTCTCAACCTAAATCAATGCTCAGTGTTCAATATTTTTCCTTATGTTTTCCTTTCATTTGTTTACATAAGCTTCAAACTAAGCAGGTAGTAAAATTGTTCATTACTAAAATGACTATTGCTACACATTTTATCGCCTTCATTAGTGGTTATCAAAATGAAGTCTCCTGGGGTCTTTGATGACTGGGCTCTTAGAATAGTAATGCTAATAACATGACAATGTCAATACTTCTGTGTCTGGCAAACATTAATAATAAGACCCCCGTGGGATCCCATCAAAAGCAGCAGCTTTAATGGGATCTTTGTGGTTGCAAACATAAGTAGGTTAGGTGGGTGGTATATGGTTTCTCTCAGGTCTGCCCAGCCAAAGTGGCCCCAATCAAAGAAAATTTGAAAACACTCCTTTTACATTTCCCTTTCCACTGGCAGGGAATTTCACATAAGAACTGGGAAGCACTGTTTTCTAACCATGATGATGGATCCAAATATTCTCAACTAATTCTACATACATGTGGCAGCTATTCTATAGTATTATATACAGTTACGCATATTGTATCTACTTGTTTAAACCAAAATGCTAGTTATGTTTCTCTTGAAGCCAATAATGCCTGTATTTTACTATTTTCTTCTCTTTCTCTTTCAATTCTTCCAATTTCTCACTAAAAGATATGGAAGCTTGCTTACTGAGGAACAGCAAGTACCTCTGCAGTCTTCAGTGAGCACAGTTTGGTTCACCTAGGATCTACTACCATCACGCATAATGAATGGGATTCTATTTTCTGGTAGCAAAATACTAACATTTCATTTGAAAAAGAATACTAGTATAAATACAAGTCCTGGAGAGTAGCTAATGGAAAGGAAAATCCTCCAACTGAAATGAAAAATTTCACATTGGCATCCAACTTGTTCCACACAAAATACACATTTTGGTCAGTTTCAAATTCTTTGGGGAAATTCTAAATGGAACTTTTGCCCTGAAATGTTCTTAAAACTAATTCCAGTTATGTCTTTGACTAAAAGGCCAACTCACAGGAAAACTTTAAAAGGACTCTGACATCTTCCCCACATAGAATGATAAGCTACCAACTACAGCTCTAATAAGCATT